CAGAGCTAAACAGCAAAGCATAGAAGGACAGGAACTCTTGCTTTATCCAGAAGTACTTCATACCCAGAGAAACCCATTTCAGCACTTAATTACTACAGGCCCTCCAGTATTGCTGTGTCTAGTGCTCAGCTAGGGAATCAGAGGCACCCATCTGTTTGTTCAGGCATGTAACTGGGGACTGCGAAAGGTTTTCAGCCCTGAGGACCCACAAATGGGGGCGAGAAGCCACTGGAGGGGAGCTTGCACTGTTTCTGTGGGTGAAGACCTATGGTCTCTGTCACTACCAGTCCATTCACCGGAGCTCATTGTGCTTCACACTTAGGACTGGCAGCCTTGTGCAGGAAGCTCTGATGTAGCAAGTAGTATCCCAGAAACAACATCTTTTCTGTATGACAAGGGGGGTGGTGTTATTTGAGTCCCTTGATGGACTCCGTGTTTCCTCCACAGAGCGCCTGCTGCGACTGATTGACTGCACAACCAGAACAGAACAAGACTTTGCAGGGCACGATGACTCTGTTCACCTCTGCAGATTCACCCCTTCAGGCAAATGCCTTTTCACAGCTTCCTACAATGAGATTCTGGTGTGGGAGATAATGAGCAGATGAACCAAGCAAGTTCTTCTGGCAGAGGCAAGAGAGGTTTTTTTAAACAACAGATGAACTGAGTGCTCCTCACTGAGGCAGGAGAGGCTTTTCAGACCAGACTGCCTCCAACCCAGATCAAGGAAGAAGAAAATAAATATTTCTTTCTTGATGTCCTTAGACTACAGCATGAGGAAATACGTGAACATGATCTGGACTCTTGAGATCCACTTGACTGCTAGGTAGTGGCCCTGTTCCAAACCACACACACACACACCCCCTTCCTGTTTGTGTGTCTGGGCTTTGTACACTCGCAGAAAATTCAATCAGTATTTAATCATAAATGGGATTTGGTCTTAGTGCACAACCTGACCTACAAGATAGGATGTATATTTGGAGTCTTGACCCAGCTTAAAAAGTTATCAGTTGGTACCTTGTTAGCAGGCTCTGTTGAAGCCAAGAATTGAATAAACTGTAGAGTGAAATCCCCTTTTCCTGTTATGAGCAGTCCTTCTAGCCAGGGTTAAGGCACATCAGTAGGTTAGGGAAGGGTGGCTTTCACTTCCACAGCTTTTACTGTTTTCTGTACTTGGAGGATGATCTCCAGGGCTGTCAAGCCAGTATCCTTCACAAACACTTGCATCACTTGCATAAGAGAACACCTATGCACTAACCAGAGATATGGATGTAGCTTTGCTTCTTCTATTTCTCATGCTCCTTTGGATTTTGAATTCTCTGTGTAGGAGGATGGTCTGGTCTGCCTGTCACAGTGCAGACCTGAGGTATTTTGTGTGTAAATGATCTGGACCCAGTGGCTGGGGGTGTCATTTGGGATGTAATATAGCATTAGATTTTTTTTTAATTGGGGAGATTTTTCTATTTGGTTTTTGCAAGGTGTATAGTTTTAAAATAAAGACATTTGGTTGATTTTTCTGCCAATAGTTCTTTGTAACATTTCTTTCCACCCCATAGCTGCTTATTCTAATGCTTGTCCTCCATCTTCTGCATGTACCACCGTTTTAAGACCACAGCTAGAAATTGAGACCTGGGGACTATTTCCCAGACCCAGATCTAATGGAACAGAGGTTTTCTTGTTCTATGGTGCTTCCCCTTTGCAGCTTCACAGTCTTAGATGTTGGCAAGAGGTGCAAGTTTGTCACTTCCCTGAAGAACTTAGTTGAATGCAGTGTAATTGCGTGCACATCTCTGCACTGTTACAGTGGGGTGGATCCAGAGTCAGTCTATAGTCTCTGAATGCCCAGTGCTGCAGCTGAGCTCAGAATCTGGTATGTGTTATATTACCTGGTTGAATTGCTGTTAGCGAATGTGAGCAGCGAGTCAGGGCCATTGGGAATGCTGGGCAGCAATCCTTTGTTTTGGGAGTCGTTCTTTGTTTCAGTGGGCTCTTCTCAATCTTTGCTTGCTTGACAGTCAAACTCCCCCTTATTTTAGAACAGCCCTGAATGACGTGGGCCTTATGGTTCATTTATTTGACCATTACTTGTGGTGGGACAAAAGTAACAAGCAGCATTTGCCACTTAATTCTGAAAGAGGCAATTTTAGGAGGCAGAGGTAGTAAGTGCCATGATATGCAGCTGAAGGGACTGCTCTGGCCTCTTCCAAATGCCTGTTCTGCTTTGGGGTATCTGGATGGAAAACACCGAGCTCTCTTCTAACCTCACAACACAGCAAGTGCATCTCACTACTTGATTTTAAAGAGCGCCACGTTTGATCTCCTGAGGCCCCTTCCAAACCTAGCACTGGCGGCTTCGGGCTCGCGGCGGGACGTGACTCGCGCCCGCCCCGCTCCTGGGGCCCGCCCCGGCAGCGCCTCCCCCC